GGCAGGAGCGGAAAAAATGAATAACAGCTGCAGAATCCTCATGGTGCTCATTTAAAAGCAAGAAAGGAAAAAAAAAGATATTTCCAGTTTAATTTTGTCCCAGTCTGAAGATAAACGGGGAAAAGAGTTGAAGTGAAATTGAGAGTTGATGTAGGGTTGACGTGTCTTGTTCGTTTATGGTGATCATGAGTTAGAGTATCCTTACAGCACACCTCCTTTTTCACTTAGTGACACTGTCTAAAGAAATGACGTACATGTATTCGTCATTCATAGAAATCTATCAAAAAACTTTGGTGATATTTTCAGGTATGTACTGTACTTTTTTTTTGTTTTGCATTTCAACCTAATCAGATCAGCTGTTATTGGAAAAAAAGCAGCATAGAGCTATCTCTGTTTCACAAAAGAAAGACAAATGACTCTTTCACAAAGTCACATAAAATGTAGAGCGCTTGTTAGGATGAAAAGACACCATGAACAGTAAAATATGTTCCATTACTGCCTATGAAAGGATCTGTACAATCCACTGTTTCACATGCAGACAAAACTCCAAGAATGCCTCAGCACTGAAACAAGTAAATAAGTGAAGAGGGCAAAAGCACCTTCAGGCTACTTGGGTCACAAAGGCTGATGATCCACAAACCTAATTTGGCTTGGCAAACCTAATCGTTCAAAATCGATCGAATACAGAGTCTACTGGAGGCCTTTAACCAGTTTACTGCGAGACAGGAGGAAAACAGGGATTGGCATTGTTATTCAAACCAAAGAAAAATTGTTGTCTTCCAATCACATTGAGCAGAAAGACGTCATTTGCCCACAGGGCTGAGCGCGTGATGATGTTAAGGTGACCATTATTGCCCCACTGGAAAAGATTGCTCTGATGTTCTTTTGATGGTCAAGTGCTCTTCAGCAGAAAGCAATCATATCGCATCCCATACACATAAAATGGCATGCACAATTAAACCTGTAAAAATGTATACGGAAGAACGAGCAACACTAACGCACGTATCGAGTGGAGAGGGATGGGGGCATGTGGGAGGATTCATTTAGGCCTCAGAGGGCTGACAGTAACCGCTAATAAGACGAAGACAGCCTGGATCACAGAACAGGGATGGGTCAAAGGTCTCACCTTATAGTTACCCATGATCCCCCTCGACATCAAACCGGAATTGTATTCTAATTTCTGTCTGTTTTGAAACGTCTGTCAGTAAAGATTTCAGTTTAGCATTCGAGTAATGCTCTCAAAGCTGCTTAAAATAACCGTTTCGCTCTCATTGGACGAGCTGAATTACTCCCTCCGGTAACAAAAATGTACCAAAATCAAGGCAGGACTGCTCTGATGTTAAGAGTCCTAATCCACAAAGTTCCGTTAGTCGGTTAGCCGCTAATAGAAAATTCCTATAATCTTATCTGCCTGACATTTCTCCTGTTATCTGCCGTGCTTTCTTCTTGTAGGTCAAGTACACAGATGATGCAGTCTTAAGTTTGTGTTCATGGAAGTGATCCTCTCCTGTGTGAGTAAACAATGTGAGGGAATGTGGAGCGCACAAGAGAGAGCACATGATTTCATGGGTTGTTTTTAGTTACAGTAGTCGGCAGAAAGTGTTCGACGTATTGTGCATTGTTTTTGCTGCACTGACTGAATAAAGCATTTGTTTTACGCGGCAATACCACGATGTCGCATGACTGCTCTTCACATTCTTGTAAAAGCTGCTAAATTAGTATAAGCCAGGCTGAGTACAAGTTTCCCGTGACATTTTTAACTGCAAGTATCTGCAAATATCTCCTGATATTTTCCTGTATTACTGTGATACAGGAAAATATTAGGAGATGAGAAAAGGAATTAGGGCTGGGCGATAAACTGAAAATTTACTGATACCAAAATTTACGGCAATAAACCAACGTCATTTTGCCCATATCAGTATCTTCGATGTCAAAAAGATAAATAAATAAAAGTTTGTTTTGGGTGTGTGTAGGTAGGCTCTGGTCTCATGTCCCTTTAAGACACTGTCCTATGTTGGAGGCGTGACTCCACCCCATCGAGTCCGTAACAAAGAGGGAAAGACAGGTGAGGAGATGGAGGACGGTTCAAAAGTTGTAGCAGCTGGAGAGGTGGCTAAAGTAGACAAATGTTCTTCCATTCATTAATGTTCTTCCTTGAGCTGTGTCACCCCGCAGCAGTCCGTAATGGACTGGCCTGAGGTCTCAGTACAAACAAGCAGCTGCTGGAAGAGAGTAGGTGAGTTGTGTTTAGTCTCTTTGCTAAAGAAATTAGGCAAAGTTAAAAAGATGTTTGGTGGCTAGTACTATGGCTGGGACCCTATATGTACTGTTGATGAAGTTAGGCGCTGTTCTGAGCATTATTTGTGGCTATAGAGTGGCATTTTGGTTGAGGTTTGTTTATGGCTCCTCAGACTGCTGTGTATTGCTATCCTGTGGTCGTTAATAAAGTTGGTATGACTAGAGAAGCAAGCGGTCAGCAACATTTATCTCTCGAGGGGGTGTCTAACTTGATGTTACGGTGTGTTTGACCTTAAATTAATTTTACGCCAGAATATCCCTTTAATTTGGGAGGGGGTGAGAAGCTTGTGGAGTAGTTATCGTCCATTTATCGTTATCGAGGAGAACTACTCAATACATCGTGATATTGATTGAGGCCATATTGCCCAGCCCTAAGAGAAATGCTGCAAAAGTGCATGAAACGTTCAAGTTTCCCAGCTTGCATTAAACAATGATGTCGGTCCACCTTAGTTGACTCAGACTGAGTCTTTAAAAGTCAAACAAAATGTTTTTCTCTTACAGGAATTACAGGTTTAAAAAAAGGACCAGTCATCCTCCAATAACCACGGTAATCATGAAATGCTAAAACAACAGTAGTGTCTTTATTAAGGGGGGGATTTCCAATTTTAGGAGACATTTGGCAACCAGGAATTCCCCTGCAGGCAACTTTTTCTTTGGACACATTATAATCTCAGAGGAAAATATCTTTGTTCAAGACATAGCAGAGCTGACACCTCATACTGTGTTAAGGTTTCATGCCAATATTCATTTTGATAGACAAGAGTTTTTAAACGGTGACTGAATGACTCGAAACTTTTTAAGTCAGCTTCCACAGCCACAGCTCGTGGAAACTGCTGCGAATGTTCATGCAAAGAGGGAGAAACAGTCTGTACTGTACACAGCTACACAGCACAGAATATATAGGGCTGCTGGACATTAAAAATGCAAAGTATAAGAGAACTGACTGACAGCCGGAAAAAAACAGACAACAGGTGGAAGGACAGGCAAACAAGGTGCTAATGGAGCTGATTGTGGATGTAGGCAGCAGGGTGATGCTCTGTGGTCCACGAAGAGCAGACAGCCGGGCTGACCTCCCACTCTTACATCCAGCACAGCTTCTCTCATGCTGTAATTACCTGTCACACTGTGAACGGTTGTGTACCTGCCTCTGATTCAGTGCAAGAGGTGTGGCTGGAGACAGCTCTTGCACTTGACCCTACATGCAAACCAACCCTGTGTTTCCCATAACTGACATGTAAAAGCACCGGCTGCCACACGCACACACACCTCTCTGAGACCCCCTCTCTCCTGGCCCTCTTCCTTTCTTGCTCCCGTTAATTACCTGTGGGCCTATGGAGAGGTGGGAACTATTGTGTGCTGCATGCGTAGCACTCAGGGAAATGTGGGATTGATGCGCACTCAGTGACCTCTCTGATTGGGGTTAACAGCAGCCTTATTTGCATGAGGAGATGGGGCTTTCATTAGCTACAGTAGCAAGACCTGAGGTGAGGAACACACACTAGCAGACATGAACACACACATTGCGCGCGCACACACACACGGAAGATATTTATTTAACCTTTTCCTCGACATAAGGTTACTCTATTTACTTGTTTTTTTGTTTACGACAAATTAACAAATTTACACCATGACTGAACTTGAACCAGCGAAATCCTCCTCCGAATAACTGAATACATGAATAGATTTTGAGATTTGAGGGCCACAGTAATCACAGTTTTAATCAAGGGTTTTAAACGCTAGTATTCTGCATTTTAACTCAAACATGAAACCAGAATCTTTTACAGTGTGGACAGGCCTGAAGTCGAGTTTTGACATTTAGCAAACCCACAACTGTAACACTGCAACATTGCAGGTCTGTTTGGATCCACACACTACAAGATAGTGCAGCTGCAAGCTAGTAGCAGTCTGATGAGCAGCACCTGGATGCTTAGCTTGCAAAGTGCATCTCATTATTAAATCATTTGGGTGTTTTTTGAAGTGAAATATGTCACTCAAAGGGAGAGTGGATAAACACAGCCCTGGTTTCTGGAAAACGTCACCATCTCCTCATCCGGATATTGTTTGACAGCATCTGTAAGGCATTTGTGTCCATCACTTCAAGTGTCACATTTGGCAACTTGGGCGAAGGCTTTTACCGACTCAAAGCTGCAGGCTGACACCGTCATGATCTGCTCGGTTCTGTGCTGCAGGGGGCAGCAGCTTCAGCTAGTTAGCTTAATGTCTACTACCCTTCAGATTCAATGTGTTTCCTCAGTTCGCACGGCAGTGAATTTACATATTCCCTCTTAAAGATTAGCTCCGAAGAGTAGAAGGAAACACGAGTATGATTGAGTCCATCAAGGTGTGATGAAGTGGATAATCCATGTTTTTTAGAATGGCCTCTACCTTCTTCTTCACCACATTCTAGCAACTGTATCATGGAGAGCATCACATGGAACTTCAGCCGTTGCCTTGGGTGGGATGCTAACTGTGACGAGGGCTGTAATCAACCAAAGAAATTCTTGTTTGACTAAAACCCTGAAATTTCTTATTTCTGGGGGGGGGGGGGGGGTCAGACTGACGGCAAAACCTTCTGTGGCGGGGAAAGACGCAGCTTGGTGGAGCGCGACTTGGCGAAGCATGACAAGGCAGAGCGCTGGGTAAAAACTAAACTGATATCAGTACAAGAAGGCAATTAAACACAAATATTATATTCAGCAACAACCGGACGTTGATAAATGTGGATGCTCTTCAATCTTCCTGTCTCTAGCCGGTCTCTGGTGGGTTGGGTGGATCCAATATGGTGAAAACAAGGGGGGTGTTCTGAGGCAGGCTGTTACCTGTGAAACTGGGGTGCTCTGAAAACACCCCCATTAACACTTGGTTTTCGTTCCTCTTGGAATCTCTTGGAGTGGAAAAAAATCGAGTTGACCAATCAGGTCGACTCAGTACGTATTGACTACTAAGTTGATCAGTCGACTACTACTTTACAACCCTAGATGTGACTGGAAAATTATATGGCCAAAGGGCAACTGCCAACTGCCTGTTCAATACCTGGGCGACACAACTTCTCCTTGTATGACCACTGAGCAGGTTTACACCTTTTTCTTGACTTTCTCTCTGTATAAGATCACCATCTCCAATCACTGCATTAGATAATCTCACTACATCTGCTATTAATACTGTTTCAGCCCTGGCATCGCAGTTTGCAATATTAACAGAGATGGAAAAGTAATTTCCGTCCTGCTAGTGCTGTGATTTAACACAAGCTGTTTACAAAGTAGATGTGCCAGGTAAATCATACTTATATCTGTTATATAAGAAATTAAAAAACTAAATAGTTACAGTCTTTTAGAGATAGTCAGCTGCTGTATTTGTCTCATCCGAAAGTCTGTTAATCTGTTCGTCTCATACAGCTTTTTTTTTGATGGGACAGCTGAGGAGAGACAGAAACGGGGGCAGACACGCAGCAGAGGGTCAAACCAGCGAATACTACAACAAGGACAAGGACTGTTCACGAGGTTCCTGCCTAATCTGCAAGGCCAACAGTGCGCCCCAGTAACCTTAGCTACAGTGGCATCATTCAGAGAAAGCACACCCGCAATCTTAACCATGGTCAACACAAACACACACACACACACGTACCAATTTATGCTAACCCAGATCTAATTTGTTTTTCTATCTCCTGCCAGAATGGTTTTCAGCAGGTTTCATGTCGCTCCAGCACAGAAAAACGCGGAGAATATTGCAGATCTGCCCCTCGGTCTCCACTTTGATAAAAAAAAAGAGGAAGTTTGTAAAGGATCGGGCATAACACAATCACAAAAACACAGAGGGCAAACAGGACAATATACAACTGAAGACAGCTCAGCACAGATCTGAAACAGAGTCACGCAACTAAGTGGACACTTCGCTCAGTGACACCTACAAATGCGCCCGCTCTCACACACACACACAGTCACACACACTGTCCTGCGCTGTCATGTATAATTCAGCGTGTGGCCGAGCGGGCAGATGCCTCATCCCCAGGGGGTCCCATCATGCCTTTGCTAGGATGAAACATTTAACAGCACAGGACAAAATGGAACATGCTCAATGAATAAACAGGAAGGATTTGTGGAAGAAAACACACACACACACACACACAGGCACGCACACACACACAGCAGGCACACAAGCACACACCCGCTCATGCACAAGCACATACACCGCGTTCAAAGTGTTAATATCACATAGTTGTTTTAAAACAAACATAACCTCTTCAAATAATTCCCACAGGAATATTCAAATTGAATTTTCTCAGGATTAAAAGGGAACCTATTGTTTGTTTTTTTTTATCTTGCATTTGAAAAATTGACACTCACACTTTGTGAGCACACACACACACACACACACACACACACACACACAAAAACACACACGCACATACTCAACACAGACTTTCATGCAGAAAAGGGCAGAGAGGAACACTAGTTCTCCTTTTAAGGCCGCGCAAACAAATGGCCACTTGGTTTGCACACACACACACACACACACACACACACACACACACACACACACACATACACATACACATACACATACACGTACACGCACACACAAATGTACAGAAGTGGTTCGCTAAATGAGTCACCCAACAGCTCTAAGAGTGCTTTTATGGCAGCTTAAGTGAATAACTACAGAGAAACGACAATATGACCGCATTATATCAATAGCTTTTCCATATTTATCACATGATGGGGCAAAGAAGAGGAAGTTTTGTGGGGGGGGTTTTGTGTGCGTGTGTGCGTTTGGGCGAAACATGAAGAAGCTCTGTAAGTGTGAGCAGATGCTGGTGCTTTGAGTGTGTGTGTGTATATGTGTATGTGTGTGTGTGTAAGGATGCCTAAAAGAGGCTTGGAGCCGGGCCAGGCTGGATGTAGACTGTGAATATTAATGTACTGTAACCTTGACACAGAAGGAGCCGCTGATGGCGAGGAGGACACCCCTCTGATGATGTCAGGCAGGGACTCCTACCTGATGATTCCTGAGAGCATCTCCTAATTCCTCTCTCCTCGCATCCTTTCCTCTAATCTCATTTTGTTCGCTGTCCTTCTTACCTCTTCAGCCTCGCTACCTGACCACATCCTTTCCTTACCTTCTTTTCCACCTATGTCCTCCACCATCCTCCTCTCATCTTCCACTCTTCTCCTTTCTTGTAACCACTTCCTCTCTACTCCTGACCCTGTCCCCTCATGCTTCAAGAACTTCACTCTTCATCTCTTTTCTTTCCACCTTCCTCTTCTCAGTCCTTCCTGTTTTCCTTCCTACCTCCGCTCATCTTTTCATCCTTTTTCCTCTTCTGTAGATTAACCTTGTCGTCATATACCTGATATCCCCCATCTTCCTCATGCCTCCTATTTTCCATCATCTCCCTTTTTGCATCTTTAACTCTGCGAAACTTTTCTGCAACCTTCCTCCCACTCTTCATCCTCTTACCCTTATTCTAATCCATCCTTGTTTCCTCACACCTTCAGTCCTCCGCCCCTCTCCTCTTCTCCCACCACCTTTTTTTTCCTCTCGCCATCCATTCACCCCCTTTTCTATTCTTTCCCCTCCTTTGTGAATGTATAGGAGTCTGGCTGTACAACTGAACTCCCCCCCTCTTGCCTCCCCCATCTTCTCTCTCCCTCTTTTAGCTCACTGCCAGGCGACCACAGCCCAAACTGTTCAGCTGCAACTGTTCCAAGCCCAATAATTACAGCTTGTCAGAAAGAATTAATTTTCTCATTTCTCATAAAGACGTGTAAAAAATTACCATGTTATTATAACGCCGCCACTCTCTGGAGGCATCAACGAAAACCAAATTTAATTTCGGAAATTCTTCCCTCGCACATTAAATTAAACACATAAATAAGAGTTTAGGAATTGGGGGGAGGTTGTCGAAGGGGGGAGCATATGTTCGTTAGGCCGGCACCAGCTCTGGGTAATGGCCATCGTAATGTTTTGATGGGCCCGGCTATTGGTAAGCACCAATACATTTGCATGATCACCGTCGCGGCAGGCAAGCAAGCTGCCAATTAGCTCTCTTACGGCTCTGGACAGAGCTGGAGAGAGAGAGGACAGGGATCTGTTCAGCATAAGAAACACAACGAGATATGGAACAGGGCTAATTAAGAACTGAGCGCAGCATATTTACTGCAGGGAGACGCTCTGTGGGATGTGCAGCTTTATACAGAGGTCATGTAACTGTTAAAGAAACACTCTGACACGGAGTTAAGTAAGGGTTCAGTAATTTCTCCCAACAGGAGGGCAAAGACCGAACATGACCATGATGCAACATTATCCAAAAGTACTCTCTGTTTGTTAAAAATACATTAAAAGCTCTTCCAGTCTTCACAGGAACCTGCATGATGATACTTGAAGAGCTTGTTAACCTTCTTGCGGACCAATCTTTGCAAATTTTTTCACTCGTGAAGTGTAAAACATTCACTTCTACCTTTTAACATTGTTGGGAGATTTCGTTGGTCCAAATAGTGACAAATGCTTTTACAGACTTTTAAGCCGACTTTGTGATCTTGGTTGATTATGATACATGGTTAATCTTTTTACATTTGTGACCATTCTCCGCAAATACAATAAGAAGGCGTTTGTAATGATTTCATTTGATTTGTGACCTTAAAGCATAAATAAAGTGGAGACTAGCAAAAAAAAGCAACCCTTATGTTTTTACAGAGGTTTGGAACTTAAGTCGTCGATTTCTCAGCGCGTGGTTTAAGCTTCCAGTCAGTTCAGCAATCGTGTTGGGGTTAAAAAGCATATTTTGATCCTAAGACCTGTTGAAGTTCTACTAATCCCTTTATATTTATTATAATTAGGGGTGGGAATCGCCAGTGGTCCCATGATACGATATTATTGCAATACTTGGGCCACAATACAATATTACCGCGATACTTGGGCCACGATACAATATTATCGCGATACTTGCCAATTCGATATTATTGCGATACTTGGGCCATGATACGATATTATCGCGATACTTGGGCCACAATACAATATTACCGCGATACTTGGGCCACGATACAATATTATTGCGATACTTGGGCCACGATACGATATTATTGCGATACTTGGGCCACGATACAATATTATCGCGATACTTGCCAATTCGATATTATTGCGATACTTGGGCCATGATACAATATTATCGCGATACTTGGGCCACAATACAATATTATCGCGATTTCATTTTTCCATTATCATAGATTTGACTTCATATTAGCAGTTAATTTGAAAAGAACGATACTTGGTAAATGTGATGATACAATATATCACCAGACAAAATAAAGCAATACAATGCTGTATCAATTTAATCTCCCACCCCTAATCATAATATTATATTACATATTACATATATTACTATTATCATATATATTATATTAACGAATTTCCTTTTGGGGATCAATAAAGTTCTTCTTCTTCTTATACATTTACCCTGTTCTCCTTTAAGTGTTTGAATAAGACAGCTTTAAAGGCCAAAGAAAGGATTTCTGCTCTCCAGCGTATATCTTTGGTCATTTGAGTCCTTGTTCAGCTTTGATGCCTTATTGTACTATAGTTTTGTCTCAGTAATGAACTGTAAGATTGTCTTGTGAGTGACTTCCCAGTGGTGCATATGCTGCATGCGTCATACAGATTATTTTGATTCATTAGCACAAAAACAACAAAATTCTGTTAAATAAAAGTGAAAGAAAGTCAAAAACTTGTGTTGTGACTGTTTCAGATACCTGGAAGTCAGTAACTTCAGCACCTTGGACAACACCTGAAAGTTCATACAGTACTGACCTACAACAAGTGAGTGAATCGTGATTAATGCATGAATTAGACATATGGGAAGTTTAATTGTCACTGTGTTATAATCAGATGTAACATAAGGTGAAAGTAGGCAGCTTAAAACAACAACAATCAACAAAATATATTCTAAGTGAGAAAATTATATGTATGTTTGCGGCATATGAACCCAAATTTGAAGTGTTAATATTTCATATGTTTTATTTGTTTGTCTTGGCCACGCAGCTTTGTCTGTTCAATGTGGATGTTTTAGGTCCTGATGCAACTGCGCCCTCTGATTGGTTAATTCCAGCAGGAGTTCAGCCTCTGATTTTGACGAAGATGATCATCGCTGGTTTTAAACCCCAACAGCTACATTCTGCTCTCCTGTGCTCCATCACTTGCATGTTTTATAGCTTTGATTGGTGCAAATTGTGTAGCCCTGCGCGTGTTCGACATCTAGACTCTATTTTGATTGTTAGAACACTCGATTGTTAGCGTGTAAATACCTTGTGAAATAATTGACAGTGCATGCTGAGCACTGAGCGGTAGCATAATAGAGGCGAGTTCCTTTGTTTGATCCTTTTTTTTCTCGTTTTGCGGCAGGAAATTAAAAGGCGAGATCCAAGGGTGACTTTGATAACACAAAACACTCGTATAGGTAGACATATACGTGGGCTAATTAGGCTCAGAGAAATCAGAGAAAAACTGCTGATTTTGAGCCTAATGTCAAATTTGTCGGACAGCTCCTAAATGACCAACAAGAAAAATGGTGACTGTGCGTGATGACGTTATTAGCAAATGTAGTGGTAGAATATTAAAAGAGTGGCGTCACAGAGTCGGGTGAAACTGAAGCGTAGGACAACCCCTCTCATCCCTACAATAAAACAAATTCACCCGAACACAGACAAACCCGGTGTCGCCTCCAACGACAGTGATAACAGGGACTTTCCCGGCCTGCAGCACAAAGCACACAAACACTTATATCTGCGCACACACATACGTTCCCACGGTCATGCAAAAAAAGGTCACCCCCCCGGTTGACACACACACGCAGTCGGCGGATTCATGGCTGATCTGACAGGGCTGAGACCAATCATACATCGTCCCGCAAACACAAACACACAGACCGCAGTCGGCATGACCAGTGTGAGCTAAATCTTCTCAGCAGAGCAGTGATGAGGCCACAATCTGTGATCTTGACATCGCCTTGACACACGCTGTCTGGGTTTGGACACACAAACACACACAAAGAGCAGGCAGACAGCACCAGTTGATTCTCATATCACGGTCATTTGTCTTCTGCGTGGCTGTGCTATTGCTGTCCATCTCTGACTCCAGGCCTTGTTCTCCATGAGGCGCTGTCCACTGCTTTTCTTTTTTTTTTCTTTTTTTTCACCACAGCGGAGCATGCCATGTGATAGCTTTTCTCTGAACTACACAGACTCACCAGTCTGTTTCAATTAATGGAAAAGTTTAAGATGTGCGGTCAAAGTTACCAAGCCAGAAACATGTGAAAGTCAGGAAAATATCAGAGTTACATCGACTATTTTTCAAGTACAGAGGGTAACATTGCACTCAATAGTACTGTTATCTCTGTTTAGGATGTAAAGACTCCCTAAATACTCCACCAAGCTAGAGTCTGACTGCTTCAGTTATCACCGAGTAAAAGCAGATAATACCATAATGAGAATGTATTATTAAAACACGCAGCAGGAGTGCATTATGTCCCCTGATTTATGTTTATGCTTTCTCGTACTAGCTGTGGTGGCAAAGCCAGATTATTGGGTATTTCTGCAGCATATGTTGTCAGTGCTGCACTAAATTTATTGACATGATTTGTATATGTATATGTATTTGTGTATGTATTGTTTGGTATCACTGTTATTATCATCACAACGTAGTTATATGACATGGTAAGAAGGGGGCCGGACACGATAAGCATTTGCTTCTTCCTGTCCCTTCTTGAACAATTATGGTTGTGTTTTATTATTGTTGCTGATGTATTGGTGTTTTTTTTTTTGTTCAAGACAAATAAAATAGAAAAAAAAAAAGAAAAAAATTGATGATCCATGCATAGTCAAGTCATGGCTGCCAGTGCAGAGAGATGAGCAAAAAACACATCTAGTAAAATGTTATCAGTAAGATGTTGGATCATTATTTTTATCTGGACAATTTAGGTTAATGTAGCTAATCATAGTGAGGTGTTTTGACTTATTTGAGAGATAAATTCTTAAACAACATTGGATTACAGAAAATATTCTGTCTTTTGAGCTCCACAAAAGCAGAAACCATTACCAGACATGATTAAAAACGCAGCCAAAATAAAATAAAGATCCATTACAGATCCAGTGAAATCAGTTACTAAACCAAATATGGTGGAAATACAGATTTAGTCGTCTTTGTGATTCAATATTCTGGAGATGCAACCGTGCAAACGGTGCAAAAAGTGAACACAACCTAGTAAAATGTGCTATAATGTGTTTTTGACGGCATCAGTTTTAAGATTTCTTCCTGACTGAGTAAGAAACTAGTGGCTCACATGTGGCTGCAGTTCCCTTATTTGCTGATTTACCAACTCTTTTCTTACTTCCTTAGATTGTGTGAAGTTTAACCGCAAAACCAGTAAAGCAGAATGAAAGCGTGTCTTTAGAGCAAGTTGTCAGCTCCTTGTTTTCAGTTGCAGAATGTTGTAATTGACATGTATCTAAAAAATACAGGACTATTCCATTAAGTTGATTATATTACGTCAGAGATCAATCTTTATGATCAAGTTTTGTCTCCCTTTCTTCTCCCAGAACTTTTAAAAGTCTTAGAATAAAGAAAATAAGTTGTAGCTCTTACCAGATTCTTGACTGAGCAGCACGAGGATAAAGATGATCGGATGCAGTAGTCCCTCACTCCTGGACACAAAAATAAGCACAAGACGTCATGATTACTGTAAAATAATCCTGTCATCTACGCAAATGCAGACATGATGACGCAAAACAGAAGAAAATATAGAGGCAAAGGGAGATTAAAAAGAGGAAACTTGATAACAACTTGCACATTTTGTTATGCAAAAACTTGAAGATCTTCTCAGAGATGGAGCGGAGGCTTAGTGTTTGTCTACATCTGCAGTTTTTTTAGAGTTATCTTAATGAGACAAATTTAACAACAATTTTAAAACCTGATATTGTAGAACCTGCTTTTCACTGGATTACTAACTTTGTGTTGATAGGGTGAGCTGGTGAGTGTGTAATAATAAAGAATGAGAGATAGACGAAAGAGATTTAGTGGCATTCAAATGAGCTTCTCCTCTCCTTCTTTTGTCTTTTCATCCATTTCCTCCACCTTTTTTTCTCCCCGTACTCACTTGTCCTGTTCTCCACATTTTTGCACCCTCACCCCCTTCATACTAGAATCCTTCCATCTATAAATAATAACAAGAGCGAGTATGAAACTCCATCCAAACACACACACACACGCATTCATACTCGCACACACCAGTCCAAACCAATGAGCACAGTGGCGTATTGTGCCAGTAGAGCTGATACACACTTCCACGGCCATTACTCCCCATGGAAACAGGCGAGTGCGTTCGCACACACATGTGATGTTGACGTTGTACCCGCACAGTGGCTGCTTTAGACAATAAGCTATTTCAGGGCCAAATCGCTGACAAAAATCCATTTTTCCACCCCACTAAAAAAGATCAGGAATGAGGGAGAGAGAAAGAGCGGGATAGAGAGAAAAGCTGAAATCAAATAAACAGTGGCGTACATCTCTCTTAAGCTGGATTTATCTCTGTATTTTGTCATCATTCTAATTTATTCCCCAAACCTGCTTACAATTACTGCCTTTTCACAAACTCACACTGCCGGCTTGTTGTTGTTCTCGGAGATTGCGTGGTATCTGCAAATGAATGAGCGGGGGACTTGCATAAGGTGGAAAAGCTCCTAGTGTACTTTTGTAGATTATCCACTTGATACCAATTCATTTTCTCTCTCTCTCTCTCTCACTTGTCACAGTTCTGTAAAGGAGGCGATGTAGGACAAACATGCAAACGCACGCTCGTGCACACTCGCTGACACACACACTACTGGAGAGTGTAGGGGAAGGGAGTGGGCTCATCATCTTTAGTTGTGATTACAACACTTGGCAAGCACTCCCCTGCCTGTTTGCCTGCCTATTGCCTTACAAATGGATTAGTAAGCCCTGTTCCATTTGTGTGTGTAGCTTCTCCGAGATTTAAACTGACTTACAAATAACACCAATCAGATTTGGGAGCAGCCGTTGTGTAGTCTTTTCCGGGGGAATATTGGACGATGTGATTTGGGGACAACGCCACAGCACTGCTGCATGTATACACTTAGTTTAGAAAATCTTGGGACTCGAGTCTGTGTCGAGATTTTACACAACTCATTATAGGGAAGTCTGACGGCAACTTTTGGAGTCAGTTGGTGGTTAATCCACGGGAGGCCTGCTCACTTATCCCTCAGTTTACATGTAGCACAGAAGAGGCCATAAAAGTAGACTGGGAAAGCAGGACACAGTGAAACAGACGGTCATCGCAGGAAAACAACTCTACAGTAACAACGTGAAACTCCAAAAAACATCCCTGAAATTGTTCCCGTGAGCTGCATGTCAGCTTAGGTCTGGGCGATAAACCGAAAATTTACCAGTACCGAAATTCACAATAATAACCAACGTCATTTTGCCCACGTCAGTATATTATATATCCTTTTTGAATTTCGAGTCTTGCTTCTATAGGGAACTGTTAATTAATAGATCAAGTTGGAAATAGGCTATAAAACAAAGTGTGAATAATTCTAATAACTCCTTAAAAGAGTTATTTGGCATTACCTCTTAGCTTGAGGGGTCTTTGACTGGTTATATGACCAGTTATGAGTCTCTATGATGAATACAAGCAAATGAGACCATCAACAACACTTCTGCTTTGAGGATAGGGCTGGGTGATAAACTGAAAATTTACCGATACCGAAATTTACAACAATAACCAACGTCATTTTGCCCATACTGGTATATTTGGTGTCAAAAAGAATAAATAAATAAAAGTTGTTTTTGGATGTGTATGTAGGCTATGGTCTCATGTCCCTTTAAGGTGCTGTCCTACGTCAGAAACGTGACTCCACCCCATCCAGTCTGTAACACAGAGGGAAAGAGGTGACGGGAATGGAGGACTGTTTAAAAGTTGTAGCGGCTGAAGTAGATGAAGTTCATGTGGGAGGGGGTAAGCAGCTTGTGGAGTAGTTATCTTCCATTTATCGTTATCGAGGTGAACTGATCAATATATGGCGATATTGATTTGAGACCATATCACCCAGCCCTATGTCAGCTAGATTGAAAATAGAACTTATTTTACTGGGTAGCTAGGTAGGTAGCCCCTGAAGTAGGTATATCACAAACACAGATTGACCTTAAACAAAAAAAAAGGACCTCAAAGGCTCGTCCTGTTTTTGAAGAATTATGTTTCAGTTTCCATGGCAGCCTCCCTTTTTTATGTGTGCTTCATGGTTTCCAAATTTTCATGATCACAAATGCACCGTGAGAAATTGAAATTTGCCCTCGTGAGTAAACTGACCAATTGCTGTTTTTGTCACATTAATCACTAAAATAAGCCCCATGGGGTGGATTGAGGTTGGGTTGGACTGTTTCGTGAACTGCACACAGGAGACAGTGGTTTACATTGTTTTACCTTAAAAAACATAAAGCTCTATTCAAAGCCTTTACCTGCTCAAACTTTAGCATGAGTGAAACTTGACATTCTGTCTTTAAAGGTTTAGGACTAACTTGAGGTTCACAATACTGATTCAATGATTCGGTACATATCTCTGCGGTACTTTTAGTGCTGGAAGTTCTGACTTCATATTTCTACGGAAGTATCTACCTTTTGTGTGATATCTCACCCTGATAAGGAAGCTAACAATACCACAAAATACATTAATATAACTGCAAAAAAGCAAAATTATAATTGGATTGGTAAGTGATATATCTGTGCTTTGCTTGCAGGTGCTGATCAGGGTTCGAGTCCAGCAGTTCTGAACGTCGTTGCTAAAAATAATTTCGTACGAACAGACTCTTGCACGTGTGGGATTTTAGCCTGAGATGAGTGTCATGTGATATAAGAACCTTGTTCCAGAACATTACGACTGGCAACTATCTGGTCAAAATATCTCCTCTATCATTTGTAAAACATTATCAAAATGAGACCACCAATTTCAGTGCAGACGAACAGGGAGTGTTTGGCAGGAAAAAAAAATGTGTGTGCCTTTTTGTGTGCGCACACATGTGTTTCCCACTCGAGAGCAGTTTGTGTGAATAAAGCTCGAAGCTGAGCTTCCATTAAGCCCCTTTCAACACAATGCCTTTCTATCTCAGAAACTCTGTCTGATGGAAATCTGCTTTTGTTACGGCAGTTCAATGTCCCTGCTATCTCCTGATGGAAGGAGAGAGAAAGAAAGGTCTGAATGGGCCTCTATAGTTTTATGTTCCAGACACTTTGCGAACACACATTTGCCAAATCACACACGCTCCTTGCTGCTCGACAATGAAATCAATGCTCTTGGTTTCCTCTCTGTGCGCAGCATCTGACAGTGCCAAAGGCTTCTTGTGATCAAACACCACATCATGTTCTGCAACTTCTGATACTGATGCTAACACAGTGCAGCTTTTGTACCCTGATGTAGAAGTTCATTCACATTGTATTCATCCGCCGTCGAGGGTGCCGCTTTTTTGTGGGAGTTTTTATTCTTCCTCATTTCAAAACGGAAACCTCTACATGTTGTTTTCTTCCTGATACTTTGTTATACTGATCACATGTTCAGTATAATCACCCTGTACTGAAAATTTACGACCAGGATTAAAAATTAAAGTTTGCCAAAACATTTGAAAGGAAATTGAAATTAAAGTAATATTTTTAAAAAAAGAAGGAATTAGAAGGAGAAGAGTGGCCATAGTCTGTTTGTATTATTTTTTTTTTTCCTTCCAATGTGAGTATTTGTCAAGAAAAATATCTGGTTGATTTGGATGGAAGCAGTAAATTCCTTCGCCTTACCAGGTCCGTCCAAGAACAAAGCCTGATTGTTGGGAAGACAATAACTGTTAACAGATTGGATAAAGAAAGGAGGGAGATCACAGGACTGCCCCACAAAACGGCTGCCAAACACATCCAGAAGTCCCTGGACCTGAAAAGCATCATCTACAGTATCACGTTAAACAGACAGTGATGCAGTGTCAAAGTTGTATGTTGGCTTTGTGTTCCTGGAGGTATCAGAGGACGTTTGGCTGGTTATGTAACAAGACTGTGTGGACATGCTGTTCATCTCTGTAACAGCATCACCAGAACATAAAGACGGATACATATGGAGTTATAATCATCTCAGAAATAAGGGAGGGCCAAGTTGTACTCAGCTACTTCATAACTGATCATTTACAAAGCGTTTATTATTGTTTGGTCTTTGGACAAAGTATAAATAAGTAAGAGTGTAAAGCTATCTAAGAAATCACATTTTTAACAAGATACAACAGGATCAGATTGGGAAGTCTTGGCTATAATCCCACCTTGCTATTATATCTGTCTGCATGATTCAGATCAAATAAACAGCTAGAGCGGGATAAATATGGCGGATGGTGCGACCAGACTTAGGCGATAGATTCAGTAAGGGGTGTATGTGCCTGAAAGTTTTACTAAGCGATTGATTCACAGCATGTCAGTCCAAATAAATACTGGGGGTGGGAATCACTGGTGGCCCCACGATACGATATTATCACGGTACTTTGGCCATGATACAATACTATTGGGATTTTTAACATTTTGCAGTACAGTGAGTATTGCGATACAATATATTGCAATTTATACAAATTTTTCAACTGTTTAGCGAATTTAGCATTTGGCATTTATTTATGTTTGTCTTATTTATGCTGTATTTGAACAATTGATTTCATTTTTTCATTATCATAGATTTGACTTCATATTAGCAATTAATTTGAAAAATCGATACTTGGTAAATACGACGGTACAATATATCACCAGACAAAATATTGCGATATAATGCTTTATTGATTTTTCTCCCACCCCTTATACACTGAAAAATCAGATGTATGAGGGAGACAAGGAAGTCCACAGATACTAAATATAAATTCTCACTCAGCAGCTGTCCTGATAAACATCTAAATACAGAGCTAGCACCACCAACCATTGGTCCTCTTTGCAGGACAGCATGCAAATAACCGAGCTGGTTGCAAATTGGTCTGGTCTAGTGGTTATAAGTCTGTTTAAATACGACTCTATCTCCGACTCAACATGCACATCCCAAAGAGGTACTGCTGAGCCTCGAGACTTCAGACTGCAAACTGAAGTCAAAGCCTCCTAATGTAAAACCAGCATTAGAAGTGCAAACTTTAACTAGAACATATGTAGAGTATGTCGTGGCTGGCACTGGATCACTGGTATGAGCAAATTGGAAACTATATTTTCACTGGCCTGCTACATCTGCAGAAATATTCATTTGGACCATTTTTTTGGTACTTTTAGATCCTTTAACTTAAGCTGCCAAACATTCAATAGATGTGCACAACAATACTCCAGCAATTTCATTTATAATCCATTCATATTGAATAAATAATGGCTATAATACAGTATTTTAAAAGATAATGTTAACAATAATAAAAACGGATTTCATTATATTCCATGGACATATTAATGCCCCGGGGCACAGCATATGAAAAGAAGCATGTTTTAATATTATACAAACAATGAGCCAATAGGTCCAAACATGTCATCACCAACCACAACTTATCGGAATAAATGTACTTAGCAATTATGCAACAGTGACATCAGGCTATTGTATTGTTTGTTGTGTAGACAAGGACACATCTCGGTACCTTGACCCCTTCTAAGAGCTGGCCAATAGCTATTCAAACTGAGGGCTCCTTTCAAAATACCACATCACTACTTTTCTTTGCAAAGTCTAAATCAGCCCAGGTAATTAGAATTATATAAACAAGGAAGAAAGGAGCTTTTTCTACTTGTCTTTGTGAGACAGAACAAGTAGATTGCATTTCTGATGGATGTCAAAAGGAACAAAAAATATGCAGCTGGGAGACCCCGCGCATGACCTTGAAACAAACACATAATCAGGTTAGAGGAGAAAACTTGCTTGACCAGCACTGAACTCTCATAATTTCCTATCATTACAGGCCATCTCGCTAAAAAGGTGATTCTAAATGAATAGATCATCACTGACATGTACTTTGGATTATAATGACTCATGAATTATTTGTTTTGCATGTTGAAACGTCAGCTGTTTTGCCTCATCATTTAACATCTTGGAGTGACACTTTTTATTCCATAAGTTAATTATTATTATTTTTTTTCTGTAGCACCTGTACATTGTCCAAGCTACTGAAGATTCACTACACAGTTTGATTTAATGCCTGCCACAATAGTTGATAAGTGATCACAACACCATTAACAGATTTGTCGATAGGTTCTCAGGGATGGGATCTGGTCAATTTTAGCCTTTAATGTCTTTATCATGTCTAAAAGTACTAACTAGTGTCATTTACTGCAAGTCTCAGTGTTTAAGATGTACTCCAAAGATTTTCTGTCATACATGGATGTTGATTCTGTATCCTAGCAACAGTATCATGGAGAACATCACACGCAACTTCAGCCGTTGCCTGATGGATGAGTGATGAACTCCTTTGGAACAAAATATGGCCGAAGAGCACCTGCCAACTGTTCAATATCTGGATAACACAACCTCTCCTTGACAGTTATGTGTGAAGAGTTTACCGTCTCTTGTTGGCAAATAAAGCCAGACCTCCTCCTTTCTTCCTCCTTCCTAGTTTCAGCATCTCTATCTGAAACCAGGTAAATCTATGATGACTGACGGAAGAAAGGGTTTATATCTCCATTTCCAAGCCTTCAAATCTGCCTTCACATTTGCACCTGCACGACAACCACAATAACATCTCCAGATGTCCACTGGAATTGGGTGTTGTTGTTCAGATTTGATCTGTCTCAATAAAAGAGGCTCTTCTCTTGAATCAACTCTGCTCCCAGCAAAAACATCCATCAGCAAAATATGAAAAAATAGGGAAAATTTGCAGAAAAATAGAAGATCATCATCAGACTGTTTGACACCAATGCCACCAATGCTCAGACTTCCATGGTTATTATTTTGCGGTCATATTATAGGGTTATCAGACTGACGCTTTCATTAGTGCGTTATATGACAGAGTCCACCTAAAACAGTAGAAGGCTGACTTACTCCATATTGGACTAATATTTTCAACTTTTAAATAAAAAAAAAGCTGCCAAGGGAGGTTTGTATTTGGTGATTCATGCTGCTGTTGTTCTTGTGGGATGGGTTTAAAGCATTAAGGGCGCACTGAGGTTGCAGTAAGGTCTTGAAACACCGGCTGAAGTCAATCACTCAAGCCTGTTTGTCTTCCCTTTTCTCTCCTCACCTTTCTCTCTCTCACTTCTCTCTCATTCTCTCTGACAGTTGCTGTACCATTAACACCGCCTCCACAATTAGTGTCTTCTCACTGGCTACACACACTCACACACAAACACACACACGCACGGTGACACCCCAGGGCCCTGCACAACCCAAACAGCATAATTAGACATCCCCTAAACAAAGCACACACTCTGTAATTACTCTGTAATGTTACATAGCACAGGGGACTCGACAAAAGCCATTTTCCCTGGATCAACCAGTGGCGTACACACACACACAAACACAGACATACAATAAACACACATATGTGCGAATACACAATATTGCTGTCCCACGTGTCTCTTACTGTGTACATTTTTATTGATTTTACAAGACAGAATTCCCATTGGCTGTTATCTGGCCTGTGAGTACATAGTATGCGTGAACTTGTGTGTGTGTGCGTGTGTATATGTGTAAGAAAATATACTGCATATTGGCGTGTGCGATTCCTTACATTTGCACTGCATGTGTGTATGCGTGTCCCTGAACTTAACAATACTAGAAAAGGCAGAGAAATTGAATCTCTTCACCTTGTGTTGCTCAGTTCATGGAGGGAGCCATGCTGACAGACGAACAGAGGGAGTGCTCACCCCCAACGCACACATCCGAACGCACTCCTCTCTTCTCATTTTCTACGCCTTACCACCTCCGGTTTCCAGGACAGAACATGACGATTTTTTATTCCTATTAGAGCAACCTGAACACTTGCACTGGTACCCATGGTCTACCGACAACATCCCCACAATGGCACACCCACCTGTTCCTCCTCCTCCTCCCATCCTCTCCTCCCATTTTCCTGCCTGTGTTCACCCAGGCTTGAATCAGAGATCGAGTCCAGCAGCAGCAGCAGCAGCAAATTAAATCTAAGTGCCAAGCCAAAAACTGTGAAATCCAATTAGATCTTAATCAAGGACTATTGTGTTTGCCTTGCTGGTGTTATCCTTTGTTATGTACAGTTTAATTCTGCGGTTTCAAAGTCAACAATTTAAATCGGAGGAGAAAAGCTAAAGTCGACTCGCACTTTCTCGCTGTTTTCTTGACTCTTTTTTTCATTTTAGCAGAGACACAGAGCGGAAAACAAACAAAAAAACCTGTTATTCACTGACACTTTCTTGAGCTTATCAAAGGACGAGGAGTTTTCAAGTCGAGCTGCATCAATGTTGTTCATCTGAGCCTCCCGTAAAATTAAAGCACCAAATCAACATATTATCTGAGTGTATGCTTAATTATCACTCTCTGGGGGATGGGGATCGTTCATTTTGATCGATACCGGTACCACCTTGATGATCAGAGTCCTCATCAATATACCGCTATCGTTATCGCTTCCCTTCATACTCTTGTATTTATACAGATTTTTCACCAAAAACTCTCTTTTCTGGGAATGACATTTGAGCTAGGGCTGGGCGATAAACCAAACATATACCAATACCGAAATTTACGACAATAATCAACGTAATTTTGCCCATGTCAATCTATTTGGTGTCAAAAAAATTAAGTAAAAAAAATGTTTTTGGACGTGTGTAGGTAGGCTATGGTCTCATGTCCCTTTAAGACGCTGTCCTATGTCAGGGACGCAGTTGTTTGCTGCTTGGTTCTAATTCAGCACATGATTGGTTCATCGGGAAGCGGACCTAGAGCAACTCCCCTTTTTATTGGCTATTCATAAAGTCTACCAAAACATGTCAGAATGTCGGTTTTCAAAAAGCATATTGACCATGCTTCATATCAAGGGAAATTAATTTTTGATATATCATTATCGTTTTTTCATCCAGCCCTAGTACCACACAGCCTCACTTTGGACCCCCTCGCACATTCAGCCACATCACAACTGACCCAAATCTTTGCCTTTTTTCAGGCAGCCAATCATTAGATGCCTTTTCACACTGGCAAAAGCAATATATAAAAATGTACTCTGAACACAATAGTGCACAATAACCCATGATAGACATTACACCTTAGTATGGCGGACCAAACACAAGTAATCAGCGCCATGACCTTCAGAGGGTCATCTTCTATGTAGGCAATCAAGATGTGCTGCAGGAGATTCAGAATTTATTCATTTTTATTCTTTTGTTCATCCTCGAAATGTTTCACACTTGTGCAACAACTCGCACCGAACAATATCCTCAGCTACGATGACATTCAATAGCGTGGAAGTCAAAACGCGTAATTCTTTCTGCCTGATTCAAAAGAGTGAAACACGGGTAGAAGTCACGCTGACGATCTGAGACCAAAGTCATCTTTTTTGCTGTTAAATTTATAGAAAAGATTGTTTATGAATCCGTTTACAAAAACAGATCCAACAAGAAAACATGAATGATATGTTCAAAACAACTTTCACTGTGGTTGGACAAACCAGAGTCTCATACTGTTAGTGTAAGACGTGTTAAAGAGAAATGAAAAGAAAACGTGTTTTCCATGAAAGGGTCCCTCACAGTGTAGAAATTTTATTAGTTGGGGATTGAACTCAGGTCACTGGAGCTAAAAGAAAAATCTATATGGCTGTCCAGCACCATGACCCCCAAGCATTCACTTCCCTCTGCAGTGAGTCGATGTCACACCGCTGCCTGTTTCCATTTGTGCTGCCTTCTTGAAAGAATGACAGAAAAACAAGATAACAGACGGAGCACTTTGGAGAAAGATAACGTTCCCGTGGACAAACTGAACATTTGCAAAAGGTTATATACTACCGCATACTAAAACGCCTCTATGTGTTTACAGATTTGCATTCTTGGCTCTGTTCTCCCTCGTCAAGCTTAAGATCGGAGTCAATGGATGGATCTTTGTGCAAACTAACTGGACTGTGATGTAGCTTTCTAAACA